TAGGCCTATATATTATTTCATGTTGTTTGTTGAATGGTCTTTATAAAGATATTACATTCTAACACGACCACAACAGAAGGAAGTCCACTCTTTAACATATGAACACTTTGTTATGTAGCTTCAGACCCGTATAGATTTATATTTCCTATTTTATTAGACCTAAATCATAAGGAAGTCCGCTCTTTAAACGTTTAGCATAAATAGTACAGAGAATTTCGATGACTATCAATCTCATATTCCCAAACTTCAGGAAATTATGTTTAATGCATGCACCGACGTGGGAATTTTAACCTAATAATTTGCATATGTATGTTTATGTTGTTTGTTGGATGGTTTTCTTTAATAATATTGAAGTAAATCACCACAACATAAGAAAGTCCACTCTTTAACCACGTTTCGCAACATCTTTCTCCTTTTCTTCTTTTAAGAAGACAAGACGATATCATGTCTCACTCTCTTTATCTTACGAGTAAGAGCAGGACTCTGACTCTCCATTCTCCTGTTTCCACCAACTAGCTGCGTTTCAGAAATTCGCGGTGGTAACTCGTAGAAAGTTCGCTGGAAAGTAGCTAATAAATTATTCATCGCAAATTTCGCGCATGCGTAAGGCCCTTAAATTGGCTTGTAATCAATTTAAGGATTTTTTTTTCAAATGCATGAAAGTCGGCGAATATATTTTTAATCGCTCTGACTCCCGGTGAAAGCTGTTAATAACTGTTTTGATTTTATAAAATGGTCTATTTACAATTTTAATCATAATTTTTTTTCTCATTTTTGACTGATAGTATAGGCCTACCTTTACAAATTATCTTTCAATCTGTCCATTGACCTTCGCCATGGTCTGGATCCGCCGCCTGATGTATAATAGCGATATTATGAAAGATTTGATTATGGCAAGAAAGAAGGGTTGATGAAGGATATAATTAACAAAGAATGCACGGGAAACCACCACAACGATACAGCACTCTAGTAACAACATGGATTACAAGATACAAAACCGATTTGCCACAATGGAAGAGCATTCCAGATGACCTGATTTTAAAATATTGTCAATTAATAAAATATAATAATATTCTTTCTTATTGATTGTATCTTTAAAGAAATTATTGAAGGTCCACTGATTAATCTCAGATAAGAAAGTATAATACATACTCCAAGTATTGAAATACACGCCATCGTATAGGGATTCAATATTTCGACATTAATTATGTCATCATCAGGAATGATGATTCCTGATGATGACATAATTAATGTCGAAATATTGAATCCCAACACGATGGCGTGTATTTCAATACTTGGAGTATGTATTACTTTCTTATCTTTAAAGAAATTATTGTTTTTGGGTATAGCTGACTTTTAAGAATAATGATATATCTACTTTTATATTATATTTTAAAACTATATTTTGTGTTGTCTTTTGGACATTTGAGTAAATGAAACGATGTTTTCTGCCGGCAAAGCACAATTAATGGTAGATAGTATACAGTACCTCCTACTTGGTATATCAAGGTACCGCCCTCAAGTCTTTGTGCTGTGGAAATATAGTGGAGTTGTACCTGGCTGTTGTAACAACTGTAACAACTTTATTCTTATAATTCTGCCGCCCTCAATGTTTCAAATCGAAGTTATGTACAGTACACAGTAAAGTTTTTGTTTCGTTAATATTAAATGTATAGAGCAACAACATTTTCGAATATTATTGATGAATGTTGGGATGGCGCCGCCATATAAATGGAACGATTGATTAACTGATTGATATACAGTATAGTAGGCTTTATTCCACTTTTCATACCCAAAGTTTCAATGAAGAGTTACACTACATACTGTAGGGGGCGTACTATTCGTTTTTCTTGTATTCAAAGGAATTGTTTAGCTTGGATATTTGCACTTCCAGAGATATTTGAGACCTCTATATTCGACGTTATCTCCGTCGATCAAGTTTATGCCATTAATTTAATATTTAAACAAGCCTTTATCAGTTACTCCGTAGGCGTAAAGCCTGGTTTACATAAAATCCATTGTGGTGAAAACATTGTGGCGACAGTAGCGATTTTATGGAAAGCAAGCTTAAGTTAGGCCGACATTCTGATGTCGCATATGACAGCGTTTTTCTACAGTTCATCGTTGCTTGGTTGTGATGGATTTTATAATATAATCATTAGCAAAAATATCGTCAGAATTAATCATATAAGTAGGCCTACTTATCTCAGTGGTACACGAGTCCCGGTTCAGAGCAGTGCTGTATTAACACTTAAATACACTAATTATATTGCTTTTCTCAACGACGTTTCTCTTCGGAATGAAGTCAATTTCGAATTATTGAATTCATGTAGGTTGTGTTTGTTTAAGCCCACTCGACTATCTATTCGATTTCGTCATTTTACGAGGGTTTATGAGGTCGTTTGCATGATGTTTGCTTTCGCCTATACTATTAATTGTGCGGGATTGCGTGCTATTGTAAACGTGTTTCTACTATTCAGCCTGTGATATTGTAAAGAGCCGCATTTGTGAACAATACCATTGGGTAGAGGAGCTGCCTATATCTCATTTCGTCAGCAACGTCCTTCATCAGTGTGCCTCGCCTTTCAAATGGCAATTCACATTTTGGTTCACATAATAGGGTAATAATAGCAAAAATATTAAACAGGCATTAAAATGACAGCTTATGGGTCCAGAGTCCGTATTTTTTGTTGAATCTTTTGTATAATTTTGTACGAACAGAAACAGTCGGAACTTCATAGGCCTTAACTGTAGAATCAATGACACTGAAAATTAATGAATATAAAGGAGCATAATTCGATATCTTATTAAAACTCTCAAAATGTTATTTTTGCGTGAAGTATACATGCACCAAACTACCCTATCATGCGTGAGAAAAATGCATGATTCTTGAGGCTTTCTTCTAGATTGGTAGAAGAGACTAAGGCCCCTACATTGGTCTATTACTGTATATTTGATATTTAATCATGTATTCTACTATATTTGTCATATTAATTGTTATAATAACAAATGAAGAATAAAAGAAAAAAGGAAGAATATAACATAGGAAAAAAAAGCTTTGAAGTGGTTTTAAATTATTTTCCAAATTTTGTAATAATAATAACGCATCCACACTTTGTTATTAAAATCGTGGCAAGCCTACGGTAGGCCTATCACATTTTATAATTTGATGTAGTCATGTTAAGGGATGAGGGCTGGATTAATATAAGGTTACAGCAGGCTTCCGTAGTCTAGCAGTATAGCACTCGCCTTGCCAGCGAGACGTCAAGGCTCAATTCTCTGTAAGGAAATTCTTGGTCGACAAAGGCGGCCTAGATTGGGACGTCTTAAAAGAGACAAAATTGACCTACGATTAATGTTAAGGGATCACAATATTTTTCACCCTAGGAATGCGTGATCAGGTAGCACGAATATCGAATCAGATCCTCAATTCACAAAGAAAAGCGAGAATGTAAATCTAAATATTATAAAAGATGACGCAGGCTTTGTAGATTAAAAGTGGGACAATCCATTTAACCCTAACTACCATGATTTAACAGCCGCCATTTCTTATACACGACCAACTGCTGTTTGACAGATTTACAGTTTAAGAAGGGGAAGTGGATAGGCTACATATTACTATTGCAATTAAATTATTAGAATGACATTTACTTAATATGTTAACAATGCAACAAAAAAAAAAACAACTTCCGAGACTATACACACAGGGCTCTAATCTGAGGTTTGAACCAAGAATTTCGACACAGTGTTGGTACTCTAATGACTGAACCACTGGGCTAAGCTTGATGTTGTCACTACACTGCATATACAATATGTGTATATAAGTATACATAAAGGCCTACATAAAAACATGTCTTTATTATACGTCTTAATAAATAATACAATACCGTAGTGAATGTTATGTCGTGCTATATACAGTAGGGTACATTATACCATACACTTACTATAGGCCTATAAAAGTATTTTTTTAGATATTCTGTATTTTTTTTTTATAAAAGAAGGCGTATCACATTTATGTCTGTCGTTTACTAGTAATTGTAGCCAGATATTATTATGTCATGATTATATAGTGTGAAATCAATTTCCGTCCAATCGGATTAAATTTACAAGAAAAAAATCTGTGTAACGATTAACGAGACCAGGGTTCAAGTTCTGGGACAACCTTTTATATTATTATCATCACACTCGTCGGTTCCTCTTTATTGTTCAAAATATAGTTATTTTGGATTACCGCAAGATGTTTTACAGTTATTGATTTATGATTTTTAACTAGAGCTGTTCCACTATACATGTGGAAAACAGTGCGAAATTAGCTGCCTCCCGAATTCGAATTCCTAACCAAGCCAAGTTACCAAGTTGCCGCTAAGCCGTCTGCATAGACAGCAGAAGGTCCGGGTTAATCCCGGTTGGTCAAGCATTTTTCACACTTATGGATTCCCCTAAATTAAATGCTCAACATTTTTATATACTTTTTATATAATTACTGCAAAAACTTTTGGATTCATCATTAATTTTTCACGATGAAGTGACGGGATTCCAACCTGAGC